TTTAATGTTTTTCTTACCAAAATGAACGGAATTTGGATGGCATATTCTTGTGTACTCAGCCTGGCGAGTCTTAGATGTAAATATTTAAACTGTTTGAACTAGAAATTGTTACTCGTCAGAACATTTTCATTGGAAATAGCAATAAAGTAGCGATAAGCATGAGATGCTGTGTCTATAGTCTATCCTTCAAAACTGCAAATCTACTATTCATCTTTGCATTGAATACTGCTGCCTGATGTTCATCTCGAGGTTCTTGACAAAATCCAAAGACGGATATGCAATGTGATAGATCCTGATCTGGCATCTCGACTACAGTTAATTTCTCACCGACGTGACGTGCCTTCCCTCTGTCTTTTCTACAAATATTTTCATGGCAACTGCTCTGACAAGCTACTTTCACTGATACCCCAATTGCATGAATTTAAACGTGCTACTAGGCTGGCATCTGGGTTCCAACCTTTCTCTGTTGAAAGGGTTAAATGTAACCGCCTCTTCTACTCCAACAGCTTCTTCTCCCGCACTTCCCGACAGCGGAACTTCCTTCCTCCTACTTGCTTCCCTCATAGCTATAATCTTTAAATATTCAAATGTAATGTCAATCGATATCTTCTAATGCTTTGATCTTGACCCCTGTCCTTTTCTTTATCCTGGCCTCAAACTCTTTACTCTTTCTCTCACTTTCTGTAACGCCTTGCGTGATAGTGGCACTCCCGCCTTGCTGGGGGTGAAATGCTTAAAAAATGGTTGTAGGCTGGAAATCACAAACCCTTAAAAATAAAAACAATAACAACTGGTTATGCATTAGTGGTATTGGGTGAAATTGTGCATTTATATATTCTAACTCGCTACATTTGAAGTATGGCTCAATCTTGAAAAATATCTCTTTTCTACATACAAGGACTCGAAGTTGGGCATCTCGAAGTGGTGTAATGGTTAGCAAGCTTGTCTCGCTAGAGCAATTACGTCTTGGTAGTGAGTTCGATCCTTACTGGGTGCCCCATACTTTCGTGCCATATCTAAGCTACGATTGGAAAATATCTACAAGGACTCGAAGTACATTCATTCCGAATATAGATATACTTTTAATTACA